ATCAGCTTTCTACACGGTTAATGTTACACACCTGTTGAGTGTGTAACGTACCGTGTCGCACGTACAGATTCGATTATACGACGAGAAAATGCAAAAAAAAAGAGAAACTTGGGAGGAGGCAGGGAAGGGAAGAAAGGAGCTGAACGGATGGAGCAGCCTTTATACTGTATCTTGGGGCCCACTCTCTGTGCCCAAAGTAATGGTTTGACTGCAATTGATTTCTGTAAAGAGGAGCTTGCCTTGAAGAGCCGTTTTCTTTTTTACTCCATTTTCATTATATGTGCCTTGCGATTACTTCTGTGATTTGGTCGCAGTCTATATATATATATATATATATATGAAATGTGCTGATGAAGAATTTATCCGCGTAGGTACTCCTTTTTGACTCCATGCGTATGTATATATGTATAGTTGCTCTGTACATGCGCAACGAGGGCAATTGATCATTCATTTTATATATATGTATGGTGTTGATTACTTCTCTTTAGGCCATATTGGTCCGCATGTATGCTTCACCATATTCGCCTGTTTTGTTTTGTTGCCTTGGGTAACTCAGCTTTGATGTATATCTGCATGTTGTAAAGCAACTTTGTGTCTATCTCCTTTTGTGTGTGTGTGTGGACGCCTTTGCGGTGGGTGAGGATATGGGGGTTTGCTGCGTTCTTAATGTTATCTTGTTTGCACCAGCCCCGCACGAGGCGTTATGAGGGTGACGGTGTCGACTGTGGCCGAGGCGGCTCGCACGCCCAGGTATACACCGTGTCCCACACTCCATCAGGGGCTGATTCTCTTTTTAGGGTCCGTGCACTAGTACAGTTTAATTACACTTTTTTTGGTCTTCTAGCTTGCGATCTGTGACGTACGTGTACGTTTCCGAAGCTCATGGGTGCGGGTGAGTTTATACAGAGACCACGCCCTTCACAAATCACTGGAAGGGGGGCGAACTGCGATGTAGGGATGAAGCGATGGGAATGTTGTGGTGGAGCGGCTGGAACGAGAGATTATTCTTTACAGCACGTGGTTCGTTGCATTTTTAGCGTGAGACGACTAGTGTTGCCGCCGGCAATTTTTTAACACGTCCAACTGCGAGGAGATGCCCGCCGTTGTTTTATTTATTATTTTTTTGTGTATTTTGGCTTGCGGGTGATACTCTTTCCGTCAGTCCGCATGTGCGTGTTTCTTGCGGATGGGCCTTGGCTTTATTGCGCATTCAAGGCTAATGGGACGGAATGTTTTTTTTTTTTGGTGCGCCAAAGATAAGTGTCTCGGAAGCCATATTATCACTTGTTTTCCCCCTTTTGTTATGTATTATAGTAGTTGCTGCTGTCGCTGTTTTTTTCTTAGTTGTTTCCCATTCTTCCCCACACCGTGTGCTCCGCACACAGGGAGTCGCAAGCAAGGACTTCCTTATCTGCATATGCCTACTGGACGTCTCATCCACCCCCTACCCCCTCCTTTGGAAGGAAAATATCCGTGGGAATTATTTTCCTTGTGGCTTCGGTATTTGTTTTTTTTTTTCTTGCGACACCGTGGCAAAGGAAAGTAACATCTATTTGAGAGTGCAGTGTATTGCTACTTCTGTCGCTTGGGTGACAGAACAGATATGAGGCGCCTCGTTATTCTCAGCCGAAGCTTGAGTGCTGGTGCGGCTGATACCGCCGTCGTGGGCCCTTTTGCATCCTCTTTCCGCTGGCAGGCCACGTATGCCCATGGCGTAGAGGAGTCTGCGTCCACATCCTCGTCAGACGGAGACACGTCTCAAGGGAAGGCGCGGGCGAAGGAGAAGGAGAAGGAGGAGGCACATGCGAAAACGGATGCTCTTGGAGCCCCCAGTGCAACGGGCAAACGTCGCAACATTGTGGTAATGAGCAACACCACCAAGGCGGTGTATATTCACCCAGCGAACCATATTGCCTCCTGGTATTGGTTTGTCACGGATTTCCATAAATGGTTTGTTGGTATCGTATTTTTTTTTGTCGGATCACAGCTGTTAGCTCGTTACCGTTTATCAAAGATGAACACAGTGGTTCAGGCGCAACTGGGAGAAAACCTCCTTGACCAGCGTACGCGGGACCTTTTGAGTGACATTGAGGTGCTGCGGCGCAAGGATCCTCTTCGGCTAGAACAGGAGGCGAATGTGTTCCACGAGCAGTTTTGGAAGCGACGCGCCATTGCTGTGTCCGAATCTAGGAACGAGGTTCGTAGAGTGGAACTGCAGCGGGGTCTGCTTCAAGGTCAGGCAAGAGGAACCGACATGACGGAGTGGCTAGGAGCCAAGGCGAAGGACAATGAAGAGCGTGAAGTGGCGCGACGGACACAGGACTACATTCAGGGTTTCCACCAGCACCTCAAGTCGAAGCGTCTCATTTGAAAATCTCTGCGTCTTCAAGAAAGAAAAAAAATATGCCTTATTTGCGGAAACGCGTCGCCACTCTTTTTTGTTTTGTTTTTCTCACATCAGCAGACCTGCAGACGCTGTGATGTTGTTATGAAGTAGAAGAGGAATGAGCTGGGCACCGGTGAGACTCACTTTTTCTTTTTCTTTTTGCTTCCTTTCTGTGTGTCTGTGTTATTTATGTCTCTGGGCATCCATTCGATCCACGTGGACACGTTTTGGTGGCGTACTCTGCAGTTATTTTTTTTTTTTTTGCAACTCACAGGCTTTTTTTTGTCACGATAGTCCACGATGGCGAAGCTGCTTGAGGCCGTGAGAATGCAGGCCACCGCAGCCGGCCTCATCGCCGGCACGATTGCTTTGTCAGTATTTTTATTTACCAGCTGGGGCAGCGTGGTGTCTGCTTTTGTTGTGTCCTTTTTTTTGGGTCCGTTGGCGTCACCATCGTCGTCAGCTTTTTTTTCAGAGGCGGTGCTGCTTCTATCATGCGTGGAGACGATAAAACATGTCACTCTGGCGAACTACATGTGCTTTGCGCTGCTGCTCATGCTTGTCCTTCTGCTTAGTTCTGTGGAGGAGGCGCTCGTTGTCGTGAAGGAATCACTGCAGAAGAAGGCAAAACTCCCCTCGACGGAGCTTCTTCGACAAATGAACGGGAGCTACGAGCGTGCCTTTGCTGTTAGTGGTAGTGCTCACAAAATGAAACAGCTGTGTGATGGAGCGAAACGCCAAGGACAGATGTGATGCGGGAGCGTCAGTTGTACCATCCCTTCTTTGAAGAAGTGTGTGTGTGTGTGTGTTTGGGTGGGTGTAGGAGCGATGTGGGCATGACACGTAATGCTAGCAGAGTTCGTCGTTGCATCAAACAAAAAAGGGAGTGTGCTGGCGAGGGCAAAGGTGCAAATGAGTTTCTCCTTTGGCGCTTACTTTTATGTTTTGTCGTTGCTTCTATTCCAAACTTCTCACACTTTGATGCACACGCACACACACGTATCGTAAATACATGTGGGTGTGGGTGTGTAAATTTGACCAATAGAAATTAAGGGTAAGAGGGCCCTGGAGAGGTGGAACAGGGATAAAAAAAAAAAAGACTGTGGCGATGCAACGGCTGACAAGAAAAAGTTTTTTCCGTTACACGAGACTACTGCGACGACGCTTTGTGCCTCCATGGGAGCGCGACGGCAAGTCTGCAGATGAGTTTTTTTCAGGTTTTATGCAGAGTGCGAACCCGATGCTCACACGCCAAAAGCAGAAGGAACGCCGTGAAAAGGCAGAGAGAAAATATGTTGAGGAGGCATCATCTCCTGCGGAACTGCAGCGCATCGAGGCTGTTCACGCACACAATGAGTCTGTTTTGGATCAGCAACGAAACTTTTTGCCTTATGGGGCGAAACCCGTGGTTTATTTTGAACGCAGTCGGATGGCAGCGCTGGGCGAGTATGAAATGATGTTGCAGTCCTCAAGTGTTGCGGCGGGTGCTGTGGACTACTCTCCAGCGGTGCGGGAGATGTTGCGAACGGATTTGCAACAAAAGTTGCCGTACCGATATGAGTCGTATGTTGAACCTTGTGGCAACCAAGCGCTGTGGCCGTTGCACGGTACGGCTGGGATTGTGCTTGATATTGACGGTGTTGTTTACCGATCACATAAACTCATTGAAGGCTCCGACACCGCAATTCGTAAGATGATGGAGTTGCGCATCCCTTTGCTTTTCATGACAAACGGTGGCGGGAAATCCGAAGAAGAAAAGGCAAAGGAATTATCACAGCTTGTTGGATGTGAGATTGATCCGTCACAGATTATTTACGCCCAAACCCCAATGCAGTTGCTCGCGCCCATGTATAAAGATCAAAACGTACTGATTGTAGGCTGCCCACGCTGTGCCGAGGTAGCGAAGGTGTACGGCTTTCATCGTCCCATTTCTATTCTTCAATTTCAGGCGGAACATCCGGAGTTAGTGCCGTACAAAAAATGGGGTGAATTAAAGAAGTGTGAGGCTGGCACGGTTGCCTTTCCGGAAATATCGGCTATCCTCCAGTTTAATGATCCAGATGACGCCTTTAGTGATTTACAGACCATACTGGATGTTCTCTTGTCCCCTCGGGGGCAAGTTGGCCGTTATGTGTCAAGCACACAATGTGTTCCGTACTTTGTGTCAGCGGATGATTTGTTCTGGGCGACGGAAGCTCCACTACCACGTCTCGGTCAGGGCGCCTTTCGTGAAATGTTGTCTGCAGTGTTTGAAAGCGTTACTGGACATGGACTACATGTGACAACATACGGAAAGCCGCGTGCCATTGCTTACGCGTTTGCGGAACGTCGTATGGGGGAAATATCGGCGAAATTAGGGTGGGATCCGAAGGCTCTTCGCGCCATTTTCATGGTGGGCGATAACATTGATACGGATATTGTTGGCGCCAATGCGCGAGGCGGCTGCTGGACGTCAGTTCATGTACTTTCCGGCATCGGTGTTACCCCTGTCGCACGGCGCACCCTTGCAGAGGATGACGTGGAGTTCGAGTGGTTGGAGGCAAATGTCTCCAAAACGCCTCATTATGTCGCACCCACGCTGGATCACTTCTTTCGGGAGCTCTTGGCGTTTCCAGAGTCAGCCATGCTGCAGAACAAGAAGCCCTACTATGGAATGCCGAACCCTGTAGACCTCCGCGAACAGTACAACTTTCCAACAAGCAATTAATCAAAGGGTCGCCTCCCTCATTGTTGTAGTTGCTACTTAAATTTAAAGCGATACACTTGTTGCAACGCGTGTGATCTTTCTGTAATGGAGGTGTGTAATGTGTTCGTTAATTGGTTGAGCTCTGTACTCTGTGTGCGGAGGAAAAGGGAGGGAATGTTCACATGTGGAAGTTTGTTTGCTTTTGTTTTTTGCTTCTTTGGAGTCTCAACTCCTTCTTGAGAAGGAATCGGTTTGGAATGTGCACTGTGCTTCATCCTCGTTGCGCCCCTTCTGTCCTTTTCTTGTGTTTAATTCCTTTTTGCTTGGCTTTGTGGCGGACAGACTCACAGGCAGGCAAGTGCTTTTTTTTGGATGGTGGACGTGGACGTGAAGAGTGCAGGGGAGGCACTCCTTAAAAACCCGCAGTTCATGGAGCTCTTCCAGCGAGCTCTGGGTGGTGAGGAAAAACTCCGGGACATACCACCGGAGGGCGATCCACGCCGTGAGAAGTGGCTGCGTGACATCCAGCTGAAGCTGCAAGAGGAAAGCCGAAATGCCATGAAAGACAAACTGGAGGAGATTCAAAGCGATGAGAACGGGCAGTGGATGTATGTCCTTCCAGAGCCGGGTTTCTGCGTCAAGTGCACCACAGCTGGTGGCGGCAAGATTTTTCTGAACGTGTGCCGGCACCAACGCATTGCCGAACCCATTCCAATTGAGGAGGATGAAAACGCAGAGGAGATGAAGTTTAAAATTCCGCTGAGTTGTGGGCAGGCGCGCCCAGATACAGACAAGAGTGGAAAACCATGCAAGGTGTATGACGTCATCGTGAACCCATCGACGGTGCAACGGTGCTCAAAAGACCATGAATTCCGCTGCTTTGTCGTCTCACTGTGTATTCATTGGATCAAACAAAAATGCGAACCCACGCTGAATGCGGAGGAGTACAGAAATATGAACTTCAAAGTGAAGGGAGTTTTAGAACCGCAACGAATCCGTTTATCTACCATACCCAAAGCAGCAAATGCTATGGGAGATGAAATTCGTCTACCCCAAAGCAGAGGTGCGGCGTTGCCCCCAACAAACGTGGGTGGCCGCAGTGGCACAGGAAGTCTTATACAAGAGGTGACGAACCCACCATTAAACTCCGATAGAGTCTTGCAGTCTGGGACTACGAAGACGACGACGGCAACGACTACATCGTCTGCAGCATCCCAAAAGGAAGAAAGAGCAACTCCGTCGCTTGTGAAGTTGCAAGGTGAGGGAGAGTACGATTGGTCAAGGCACGCTAAACCGATGCTTAACCCCTACCTGCGTGAAAATGTTCCTGCCGTGTATGTGGTTGAGGTCTGTATCCCGACAGTGACCTCCATTGCAGAGGTGGAGGTCCGAGTTACGTCCCGGTCTGTGGAGCTTAGTTACGTGGACGCAGAGAATGATGCGCCATTCTTAACCATACCGCTGGACTATCCAATAGACGAAGATGCACCCAGCGCGAAGTTTGTTCGAAAGACGCATATGTTAAAAATGCGACTTTCAGTAAAACTTCCGGACGAGACGAGTGAGCTTGCCACGAAGGCGGAGCGTGATGCTGACGAAATTGAGGAAGAAGAGAAGCGGCTGGCACGTGAGGAACGCGAAAAGGAGCTTGAAGAACACAAAAAGCGTGTCGAACGGGTGCGAGAGGAGGAAGAACATGTCATGAAAGAGCGAAAAAGTTATGTGGAAAATTTGGCAGCTGTTCAGGAGGGATCGATGCCTCCTAGTCTTAAGGAGGAGTTGGAAAAGCTTCCGCCGGATCAGCTCCGTGTTATGCTGCAGCGGTTAGAAAACAAAATACGCAAGGGAGATTCCATTGATGAAATGCTGGATAAATTTCCTCCGTCTATGATAGACGCCATTTGTCGTCACATTCGTGACAAGTTGGGACTCGAGCAGAGGCCGCCGCCGAGTTGCCTACACAAAGAGCCACCGACGGCAAATTCTGGCGCTGCCGCCCCGGTGCAGACAGCGAAAGGGGAAGCAGAAGATGTAACTCAAGAGGTGGAGGTAGAGGAAGGACGTGTTGAATACAACTTCGCAAAGAAGTCTGAGAAGTTATTCGGAGTAGCGTTCCACAATCGATATCTTTTTGCTCTGGACTGACATGGGGAATTTAGTGAGGCACTGGAGATTGAATTATGGTAGGGTGTGTGGTGGTTCCGTGAGCCCCTTGTTTTTTTTTTTCGTTTCCCTTCCGTGGTCGCGTATTACCCGCACAGGCATATACGTGCAATCCCTCTGAGAGTACGCGGGGAATTTTAAAAGTTCCTTTTCTAGGTGTGTTTTTCTTTGTTGCCTCTCCGTTGGTATCTACCAAAAGAGCAAGCGTTGTCATTTCAGCACAGCGCAATATATACATTTTTTTTTCTTTCTCTCACTGTTGTGAGTGGCAGGACGAAAAAAAAAAAGAAATGGGCGCAAATGGGTATGTGTGAATGCACGGGAGGTGTTCGTAGAAAAGAAGAAAGTCCCATGACAACGGACGTCCCACTCGCAGGAGGGACGGCGACGGGAAAAAAATGCGGCTCTTGCATTGTTTCCCCACCTCTTAGCAGGGGGAGGGAGGGCTGTTTGCCATTTTTTTTTGTTTTTGCCACTCCACTTGTGCCATGTTGTGGATATTTGGGTAATAAAAACAGCCGTAGAGGGGAAGGGCAATTGAGAAGGGAACACGACAAAAAATGGATGTTGCGCCGAACAACCTGTCGTTATGTACATTTATTTACAGTGCTGGTTCCTGTTAGCAAGGTGAAGGCGCCTCAGTTCCATCAGTAGGGAGAATCTTGGGACGCTAAAAAAGTGCTGGTGGAGGCTGAGTCATTGATTGGCAAAGCAGCCCTTGGGGCCGCGTTTGATGTCCTGGTAGACCTATCGAATTTTCACAGGCAGCTAGAGTTGGACCGCATCCTGGAGGAGTGCATCATGTTCTATCGCGCTGAGCTCTATAAGCCATAAGCCTTCTGTCACTGACCCTTTTCAGCGATTGCAGTTGCATGAGACGGTCATGGCGGCAGGGTATTACCAGCGGTCAGCAAAGACGAGTGTCCTTAAGGGGGAAAGTACGAGGTTTGTGTTGCATCACTACAACTTTGATCTCCGTCGCGATATGTCGATCTCTCGCACCGTCAAAAAGGTCCTTCGTGAGGATTGCACCTCAACCACCGAGTCAGACAAGTTACTGGGCCATGTTCTTCTTTTGGAGCGGCGTTTGTTTGGCCGGATGCGCTTTGCGCCAACGGTGGGGAGGCGATGGTTCGTGCTGGGACTCCCACTGGAGGATATTGAAACCAAGGCAAACGTTCATCGTGTGCTTGATATCCCTGCCGTGAGGAAGCACGACAATTTTGAAACTAAAGAAGCAGGTCTTGGAGAGCTCTGGAATAAGATTATTGTACTTCCCAAGCCTGAGCCGACTTTCAGCTTTTATGAAGATGGCGACATGGAGACGCAGATCGCAGAGAAGGATTTAAGGTTGGAGTGCCGGATTCAAAAGCCTGCACCCCCCTTGGAATTTTGAGATCGTGTGAAGGATACACTGTTGCGATATTGGGTGATTTGGTTTTCCCTGTGGATTATGTTTTTTTATGGTGGTTGAGGAGATAATTACTCTTCTGGCATTAATATTCCTAAAGTGGCGTCAGGCGCAAATACTTGAAGAGGAGGCGGAGAAGACAGGGGGCACAGTCTACATTGCGTCAGCCTCAGGTCACTCAAGGGATAGTCTCTGACTGCGTGTATAAGTCATAAGAGGGTTATCCACGTTATTATTATTATTATTATGTGTTGTTTTTTTGCCCCTTTTCCCTGAGAAAAAAAGTGGGTAGATATGTTGCTGTCAAAATGCAGTGAATGCAACTGACAGACGTTGAGGGGGAGAGATGAGGAAACAGTAACAACAACAACACTAAGGGTTTGCATCCATGCACGTGTGTGCAATATACGTATGCATCTGTTGTGCAAAATGGACGGTGATCTTCATCATGTTTTTGGTTTTTTTCTCCGACTGTACGTTTTTTTTTTTTGTTGTTGTTTTATGCGTTTTTGTCGGAAGTCAAGACTATCTTCTAAGCTGGGGGTCTTAATAACGAACAGCAAGTGAAGAAACAAAAAGGAAAGAGAAGCTTGCACGCAAAATAACGAAGAAGAGGGGCCAATGGTAAAGCGTTTCAGTCATCTCACATGCGCGAGACTCTTTTTGATGTTATTTTTCTTTTTAGTGACCGTCATGTTTACCTTTGCTGCATACGATTGGGTTTACATGAAACGTCGCAACAGCCTACAAGCAATTCTACTGGAAACGAGAGCGCATTTTGTGCAGGTGGACACAAATTTTCCCACTGAGACGTATTACAAACTATGGCGGTATTACGACCCCCATGCGGATGGATATAGGCACCCACAACGTCCTGGATTTCCTGCGGTGCCTATTGTTTACATTCACGGCAACGGTGGTTGCTACGAGGACATGCGATTCTTCGGGCGAGTTATTGGCGAGGTGAACGTGAAACTGCGCTATCAACGCACAGCTCGGTTTCAAGAAGACGTAAAACGCACGCTGTTTGAGTTATATAGGCGTGAGGGATGGGATATGCCTGCCGATGGGGAAGAAATCCCTAAGGATATTCAACAGAGGGCTGAGGAAATGGTGATACAGAGGACACCCCTTTTGAACACAGAGGTCTTTGCTGTGGACTTTCTAGAGGAGTCGAACACTCATGATGGTCTGTTGATGACGAAGGAGGCTCGCTTTTTGAATAACAGCGTTTATTTGCTGCTGCATGCGTTTCTGGGTCACTACCGCGAGGTCCTTTTGCATGCCACAGGATCTCTAAGGAGGAGCCATGAGGAAGAAGTGTATATCCCCAGTACTGTAACCAATGCTGAGGTTGAATATGTGGACAGCTTGTGTAGTCGCGATGAACTCAAAACGGAGGAGTCGAATGAAGTTTGTTTGGTTGCAAAGGAACAGATTCGTCGCTTCTCTTCTTTAGAGCGCATACGGCAAGAAGTAGAGCGAGTACGAAAAGAAGGTATTTGGATCTGGACAGAATCGATAGGGGGTCAATTAGCTGTGTTCGCCGCAGTTCTAGATCCACAGCTATACGCCGGTGTTGTCATGGCTGGAGCGCCATTGCGATATCCTCCGATGCTCTTTGATACCGGATGCGTCTACTACAACCGGGTCGTACATGGTGCTGCTGTTTTCTCCTATGCGTACAACCATACATCTACACTGGATTGGGGCAAGATTGTTGGCTCCACCGATGCTGCCCAAATTCTCTGGAACTTAGGAAAGGTTCCTGCGCAGGACGTAGCAGCTCGAGTGAGTCGTGTTCGTATGATAACCATAAATGGGGGTGCATTGGATGACATCATCCCACCACACTCGTCTTTTTTGCTTCGTTCCACGGGACGTTGTGCGGCTTCTGAAGATCATCAGAAAATGCTGAAGTTGGCTCCTGTTCACGTGCGACGGCGAGATGTATCCACGGAAGAGTTGCGCGGCTGTGGCATGCCACTTAGTCATCGAGGTCTTGTCTTTTCTCTTCAGCTCCTGGATGTTGCAGCAGATTCTTTGATACGGGCATCTTTGACCTCGCTCTCGAGTGCGCTTCCGAGCGGGGAACCTGCTGACGCTTACTGGAAAGACCAACTATTTCCAAGTATCGTGGAGACCCTTCCCCGCACACTTGACGCGTACCGCGCGGATGAGTTCATGTTTGTAGCGTCCCTAAGTGAATCCACTAGGGAATCCACTAATGAGGTCTCGTATCACATGACGAATACTTCTCATGCCCTAAATAAAATAGAGAATATTTGTGTGCAGAGTAAGGCAGTACTGAATTTGCAGGAGATCCCAGTAGAAGAAGATGATAACCCAGAGTCATGGGAGGCATTGCATATTTTTATTGGCGCCACAACCTACGCCCCAGAGGAGGTTCGTTGTCCGCAATTACGTTTGTTGCGTGTAGGAGAGAAGGACGAGGTTCCACACACAGAAGTTATATCACGTGCTGCAACGAAACTTCATCTTCCCATACGTCGGAATGACACTGTCGCTGAGCCTGGGACTGTTTTGCAAACAGTCATCAGCTTTCAGGTTCTCCAGAAACAGCGTGGAACCTCACCGGAGTGGGTGCGACCACAGTTTTGTTTTTCAGTAAAACGTGAAAAGGTGTTTGCAAAACAGTTTTCCTTCGTTCAGCACGACAAAGTTGACCCGTTAAATGGGATGGAGGCCCCGACTGTGTCTCATGATAACCTTGCTTCAGTAAACGGAAACGACCAACTCTCCGTGGAAAAGTACGGCAGATTTGTCCTTATTCGTAACATAGACAGCGTGTCGTTGGAGACAAATATGGTTGTAAGTGTGAATAACAGGGTCGTCTTTCCCCACATCATGTGTGGTTCTTTCCGATCTTTTCGCATTACGTTTCGAGGAACAGAAGGAGTAGCCCCGGACGAACCAGGGTCTCAACAACAGTACTTCTTTGGACCCTATGAGACAGAAAAACACACATTTCATTACAGTTGGCGTCCGTTTTTTACAGTGCCATTTAACTTGAGAAATGTTTACGTGGTGTACGTTATATCTGCGGAGGAAGAGCCATCTATTCATGTTGGAGACTTGGAGTTAAGTCAGACGCCTCGCTGGGGTGAATATGAGTATTGGGTGTGGTGGCTTGGACGATGGACAATGCGTTTGATGGCGGTGCTATCAACCCACTCGCTCTCTGGTAAGTTTGCAGGTTGTTATACCCTGCTTTTCCTGAGTGTTCACGGATGCTTCGGTGTGAAACATTTTGTTGGATCGCCTAGGACGAGGTGGATTTTCCCTAGTCTTCGCAAACTGCATCCTACTCTTTTGGTGCTGGTTGTTACACTGGTGTTAGAGCACCTCAGTTGTACTGTGGCCCGTACTTTATTAACTGTATGTCTCAACCAGGATCCTCCGCTACGTAGCGACGACGAATTGACTGCGATGATGGATATTAAAGAAAAACTAACGCTGGTATTCCTGTATGCGCTTCCTCCACGCTATGAGGCCTGCAAGTATTCCTGGATACGCATGCAAAGTGTGGCCCCCAGTGATGTACAACTAGATTACATGTTGCACATGGTTTGGGCATTGTGCTTTGTCGTATTTATGACTCTATGTGAGTTTATTATGTGGTGTTGCATGTGGCCATTTTCTTTCCTTCTTCGTGCTTTTTTAAAAATCCGTTTGCGCAGTGAGGTGCCTGTTTGGCGCTTGGTGGCGGTTTGGTCTATTCCTGTTATCATGCATCTGACTATCCCGTGGTTGCACATATCAATTACAACAACAGTGGCCTGTTTGTTGGCATATGCCATGTTGTGGTGTTTCCCATATAATTCGTATGACTGTGCCGGGCCTCAATATCGTTGGCTGTGCTTTATGCTCACCATGCTGTTGCAATTGACCTCCCATGTTGAGGGACTAGTGCTCGTTGTTCGAAATTACATTATGTCGCCACCGGTGGTGCTAACGGACGCAGAACGTTACAGCACACTTCCAGAGCACCAGCTGGCGTTTGTGGTGGTTCAGGGCGCATTGGCGGTTGTGTATGGCACGTTTTATCTATCGCTCCGGCACTGTGCCACTATGGAGGCTGAAGCTGCAGTGAAGGCAAAGAGGGTTAGAAACCCCACAAAAAGTGGATTGCAGTTAAAAGAATCTCCAGATGGGGAAAAACAATTGTCTTACTTTTTAGGTGACATTGGTCGTTGGTATCCTCGATTTGGACGGGTTCTGAAAATCATTTCTAAACTTGTGATGTTTTTTGCACTATGGATGAGTTTGGTTGCTGTGCGCCGACCGCTGGAAGGCACCATCACCCTGTATGGCGTCTGCTTGACCGCGTTGTTCATGGCGCTTGTGCTAGTTCGTTTGTGGTGAGGATTACTGGGCAGTGAATTGACCTTGCCTAGAAGCAGCGGAGAGAGTAAAAGGGCAAGGAAGAGAGCGATTGTTCCTATCAAAATCAACTTGAACGGGGTAGCAGGCTTTTTAAAATTAATATTTTTTTTTTTATCTTCGCTTTCATTGTAGATTTTTTTTTTTGCCCGTGTGGTGTTGGAACCCTAAATTTCCGTGAGTTCAAAATGTCATCGCAAGACGTCTTTATCAGCAGTGTTATGGTGCTACACGTCAGCATGTGGAACTGTTGGGTGAAAAATCTACTGCATTTGTCCCGGGTTTTTTCTTTTTCAACGCGGCACCATCCAACAAAGCCTGGCTGTCGCCCTTCGTGGGCCAGCAGCAACGCGTCAAAAGGGCCAATTTCCGGCTCTTGGTTTCCCACTTTACGAGGTAATTAATCCCGGAAGCATGTTAAAGTGCTCCACGACTTCTCTGGAAAGGCTTTGATTCGTCTTGAACATTACCAAGCAGTCCCCTCGCTTGGGTTTCATCGAATGACTGCGGTTTCCCTGAGCAACCGACTGCGTAAAAAAAAACACAAAAAACAACTATGGGTATGTGGAGATGAATTGATTCGTTCTGTGGCAGTAGGCGATACGAGACCCAAAACTACCGCAGGTACTGGTGTGTTGGTGGGCTGCCATCTAATGATGCAACAAGGAACTACATATTATAAAGGCCTACGGCGCACTTGCATCTGTTGGTGCTCTGGCAAGCGCCAGGGTTTCTTACAAGTAACGCTGGAAAGGGCACAACTTCAGCGTATGCGCCTTTAGGCACTCATTGCTCCGCTGAGGCGTTCCATGTGAGGTGGAGCTTATGCTTCCGTTGCCGCTGCTTGGCGTAGTTGCCAGTTAAAAGGAAGATCAGTCCAAAAACCTTTAAATAACCTTTAAAAAATTAGTGGCCTGAATCCAGGGCACGCTGGACTCTTTAGGATGTCAGCTGTACAGTCTGCTGAATGGCCTATGAACCGTCAGGGAGATAGCCATGCTACTCTTCTCAGAAAAGGACACTCACGTTTTGAAGTGTGGGTGAAGGGTCCGCAGGTGCGTAGCTTCCTTTCATAAGGAAACGCAAACTCCAGACATCACAATAAAGTTGATTCACAGCGTCGTCGGGGTCCTTCGTTGTGGTTTTGTGAAATAATTTAATTATTACGCAAGGTGATGTATACACGAAAGGATAAAAGAGGTCGGCATGCGGACAAACTTTTTTTTTTTACTTACTTAATGGTTTGAGATGGAGGCGGGGACGTCTCTGCGTTTCTCACTTGTATTTTGCCTTATTTGCATAGGTGCATACGTGTGCAGCAATTAATGCCGATGCAAGCATTTATTTGCTTCTGATCGCAATGTATTCTTCCCTTTTTCTCCCTACCTCAGCTCCCAGCACGGGCATGGGATGCGGAGAGATGAGAACCTTCCCTTCTCCCACCCAGCCACACTTTTTTCTTGTCTGCCAGTGCGATGTCATGAGTTGTTTTTCCCTTCTGTGCTTTGGTTTTTTCTTACAGCTCTTCTCTTTCTTTTTTTTTTTCCTTTTTCCTTTGCCTGTATTGCGTTTTCAACCACAGCTGAACGAGGCACATGCCCGTTGCGGCCGAGGAATGGAAGGGGCTAGAAAGCGGCAGCAAGACCGGCTGGTTGTTCAATTATCACCCAACAACGGTGATGACAGCTGAAGAGTCGTCGGTAGAGCGCCAAGTTGGCTCGGGTGGGCAGGCTGCTCTCCATCTGCTTTTTCAGGATCATGACCGCGAACCCTTTTCGGTAAACCTGTTCTATAACCCTTACATTTTTGTCGCTCCAGTGGAGGGGCATGAACACGAGGTAGAGCTGGGTCTCATGTCCCTCTTTGGCCCCCAGCTGATTCACCACATTGAGGTGGTGGAGAAGGAGGACTTGGACCTCATTAATCACTTAAGCGGCCGCAAGCGGCTCTACCTCAAGCTCAGTTTTTGCAACGTGCAAGATCTAACGGTGGTGCGTGGTCGACTTGAAAAAATTGTGAAGCGCAATGCTTCCATGGGTGCTGCAAACTCTTTACTAAATCCGTTTGACAGCTCACTAAGTGAGGTGATGGCCAAATCCTTCGAGGATGACCCCTTAAATACAAACGTGTCTTCTGAGCGATGGTTTGATTGGGTGCATGATGTGAGGGAATATGATGTGAAGTATCACATGCGAGTGGCCATTGATTTGGGCATATTTGTTGGTCTTTGGTACGATGTTACGGTGCATGAGGGGGAGGCAACCGTGAAACGCTGCGATGATAGTGCCTATGCCCCACCAATGCCGACGGTTTGCGCCTTTGACATTGAAACTACAAAGGCTCCACTGAAGTTTCCACAGCCGGAAGTGGATCAAATTTATATGATCTCCTACATGCTGGACGGGCGTGGATACTTAATCATCAATCGTGAGATTGTGTCCATGGACATTCATCCGTTTGAGTACACCCCTAAACCAGAGTACGAGGGAATATTTGATACATTTAATGAACCAGACGAAAGGGCGCTACTACGCCGCTTTTATGATGAGATGCGGAAATACAAACCAAACGTGTACGTTACGTACAATGGGGATTACTTCGATTTTCCTTTTATTCATGCACGCTCTATCTTTCATCAGTTAAACATGCGGGAGGAGATTGGCTTCACGCAAGGTGCGGAGGGCGTCTTTCTCAACCAGAAGATTCCCCACCTTGACTGCTTCTACTGGGTGAAACGAGACAGTTACCTTCCACAGGGAAGTCAGGGGCTGAAGGCGGTGACAAAGTACAAGCTGGGCTACGACCCTATTGAGGTAGATCCAGAGGATATGTTGCCTTTGGCACAAACAAATCCGCAACAGATGGCGTCGTACTCTGTCTCTGATGCAGTATCCACGTGGTACCTTTATCAGAAGTATGTTCACCCGTTTATCTACTCGCTCTCCACGATTATTCCCATGTCGCCAGATGATGTGCTACGCAAAGGATCAGGAGGCCTTTGTGAGTCACTGCTAATGGTGCAGGCATACGCAAACAATGTTATATTTCCCAATAAAAAAGAACAACAGTTGGAGAGGTTTTTTAATGGGCATCTTATTGATAGTGAAACTTACATTGGTGGGCGTGTGGAGGCGCTTCGGAGCGGAGTGTTTCGCAGTGATATTCCCCTAAGCTTTAACATGAGCCCTGACATGTATCAGAAGCTCATTGACGATCTCGACAATGCGATACAGTTTGCATTGGAGGTGGAAAACGGTGTCAAGGTAGATGAGGTGACTAACTACGCAGAGGTGCGGATGGCCATGAAAACAAAGTTAGAATTCTTGCGAGATAATCCACGACAACGCACCAACCCCATTATTTACCACCTTGACGTGGGTGCCATGTATCCCAACATTATCCTTACAAATCGACTGCAACCGTATGCCATTCCTAAAACAGACGTCTGTGCAGGGTGTTGCTTTAATTCATCCATCAACGAGCATCAATGCAAGCGCATCATGACGTGGAAATGGAAAGGGGAATATCTTACTGCTAGTCGTCATGAATATCAACGCATCAAAGCTCAGTTAGAGAATGAGTCGTTTGCGGCGGCAGCGATTCAGCAAGCGAATATATCCGCTGTGCAAAAGAAAACATATGGTAACCGCAAAGGAAATGTCTTAGAGGGTACATCATTTGAGCGAAAGCAGCGTCCTTTTTATAAACGACAAGGTGATGGTTCTGGTGGAGGTGGAGGATACCGACAAGAGGGCAAACGTCAGCGGCAAGAGGCACAACAGGCGCTACTTTCAAGAGAATTTGAAAGAAAAAAAGGAGATGGGAGTGATGATGAGGATGAAGACGAGGAGAATGAGGTGGCAGGAGGGTTGAAGTCCTTTCATAAACTCCAGGGTACGACCCAATTTAGTCTTCTGAAGAAGCGTCTTGCTGAGTATAGCCGGAAGGCTTACGGTAAAATGCATGAATCGCGTGAAATTTTACGCACTGATGTTGTATGCCAACGAGAGAACTCATTTTACGTGGATACGGTCCGTTTGTTTCGCGATCGACGCTACGAGTATAAAGCCGCTCTTAAAACTTGGAAGAAACGACTGGACACAGCCAAGGATAATGACGAGGTCAAACTATGCAAAAGTCGTTGTGTCCAGATGGAGTCTCTTCAGTTAGCACATAAGTGTATTTTAAACTCGTTTTATGGCTACGTCATGCGCAAGGGCAGCCGTTGGTATAGCATGGAAATGGCTGGCATAGTAACATATCTTGGGGCCACACTCATTCAAATGGCTCGGGCCCTTGTGGAACAGATTGGGGTGACGCTTGAACTTGACACGGATGGTATATGGTGTTGTCTTCCCAAGGAGTTTCCCGAAAACTTTACCTTCACGACTTCAAATTCCTTCAAGTCAAAGGTGACAGTTTCCTATCCATGTGTTGTGCTGAACAAGATGGTGCATGATGACTACACGAATCACCAATACCAAACATGCATCGCCCCGGGCGTGTATGAGCGTAGAAGTGAGTGTTCCATTTATTTTGAAGTGGATGGGCCCTACTTGGCCATGCTGTTGCCGGCAAGTCGGGAAGAGGGAAAAAGCATTAAAAAGCGCTACGCTGTATTTAATCCAGATGGTAGACTTGCAGAATTGAAAGGGTTTGAACTGAAACGGCGTGGTGAGCTGATGCTTATTAAGGACTTTCAGTCTCAAGTGTTTCGTCGCTTTCTTGACGGCGGCACCCTTATGGAGTCGTATGCCTCCGCAGCCGTGGTCGCCAACGCGGCACTCGACATGTTGTACTCCAAGGGGGAGGGCTATGAAGTGGAAGAAATTCTTGAAAAGTTATCGGAAAGTAGCAACATGACACGTCGTCTCGCAGAGTACCCAGACTCGCAGAAGTCTTTGGCGTTAACTACTGCCCGTCGCATAGCAGAGTTTTTGGGTCCACAAATGGTGAAGGATAAGGGACTTGCGTGTCAATTTGTTATTTCGCGTCTCCCTGCCGGTCGTCCAGTGACGGAGCGTCCGATTCCTCTCACCATTTTTCGTGCCGACCCGACACTGCGTCTGCACTTTCTTCGTAAGTGGACGGGGGACAACTCACTATCGCCGGATGTCGATCTCCGCCAACTTCTGGACTGGGATTACTACATTGCCAGGTTTAACGTTTGTGTGCAGAAGATTATTACGATTCCTGCAGCACTGCAACAGGTACCTAACCCAGTACCGCGTGTGTCTCATCCAGATTGGCTGCAAAGGCGACTTGAGCAACAAAATTCCAGATTTAGACAGCTTAGTCTAACTGGGATGCTCGCAAAAATGAAGGCAAATCAGGCCGCCATTCCAGATGTGGAGGAACTGGTTCCGGTGGAAGAGGCGACGAGACCCTCTACGATGATGTTGGAAGCGAAGAAGAACGGGACAGATAATGAGATTGTAGACAGTGATTCTGCTGATGATGTCGAGAGCCACTCCGACGATGAAGGTGATCGTATACGACAAGAGAAAGAAGCATTGGAAGAGGAGGCAGTAAATGCCCTCAGGGCAAAGTATTTTGCTCCGAAGAGCACTGTCACACTGGACGCAGCATTTTTCACGGCTCCTGGTGTTAAGATGTGGCTGCAGCGTCAGAAGGAATCTTGGACGCACCGTGCAAAACTTCGTTGTGAGATGGTGGCTGATGCATCTGATAGCCTTTCTGTGGATGGGACGGCCATCAATAATCATTTTATAGACATAAAGTCCAAGGCACTTTCGGCGACGTGGCACATTATGGAGGTGCGGCCCGACAATGAGGAAACGGGAATGGTGACTGTCATTACCGCACTTGAAAAGACGTTGCAAACCTTTCGCTGCGTCGTTCCACGTCGTGTTATCGTAGATGCCAATGCACAGTTTCAGTTTCCTGGTGCAAAGGGGTTAAACAATGCTCGGGTGCTTCCGCGAGGTCGTCTTGCAACAAATTTACAACAGATTGATATTCCCCCTGGAGTTGAGGGGGAGAGGATGCTGAATGAGCTGCAAGCTTCGCGGGAGGACGTTCGAGCTGTTTATGAGAACCACATTACTCGGACGGATGTGTTTGTTGAGAAAATTGGTTGCTGCGCAAATGTCATAGCGGATCTTCATTTACGCAGCACACGTCGTCGTCCCTCCATGCGAGACGTGTTTGAACTGGAGGAGTTGGACAGTACGGTGAGCGGTAATTATCTCCAGAATTCCACGGACAGATATGTGTTTGTTTTTCATGTGGCCTCTGACACTCGCGGTTTGCTCGGTGTGGTCAATCACCACGCAAAAACAGCCGTTGTAGTCATTGTTCAATCTGCATCTGCACCGATTCCAACAATAAATTGGGGTACTCTGGTTCTTGAGGTGGCAAAAGCAATGAACATGGCAATGATCCCACTTGAAGTCATGACGGAAGTTGTCTCGGATGTTACAAGCGGATGGAAGCTTATTCATAGGATCTTAATGGAAGTGATGGAAAGTGGAAGATCCCCGTTGTTTGCTGTTCTTGAGAGTAGTGTGCCAACTTCGCAGCTTTTCGCGCAACGCTCTCTTCCTTATACACTACCGTATTTGCGCGTCCTAGGTGCCGTGGAAGACGAGCGACTGTTGGCTGATCCTTTTCGTTGGGCACGTTTGCTGGCGAAGCGACTTGTGCAACGGTACTATGCCTCTCTCCTTTGGGTAGAGGAGCGTATTGCTTTTAGCCGAATTTCTGGTATTCCTCTTTGTAACCTTGCGCAGGACACTTGTATGCACGTGTGGGATGTGATGTTTAGTCGCTCCCTGCACGCTCGCTCTCACGTCTTGTGGAACTCGCACGACATATGCATTGCCTATGAAGCTGTTGAAGAACCGCCTCGTCAAGTTGTCATGCCAGGCGGATACCTTTCGTGGTGTGTGGAGTTTAGTTTGGCTAGACTGGATGTGGTTGCGGTGTTATTCTCGCAGATGATTCAGGAGGGAGATGACCCTAATCTGCACATCCTGTGTGATCGCGGTGTAACCACACACTTCAATATCCTACGAGATCTTGTCTCGGATCTTCTTGGTCAAGTGGTGGCAAACCCGGCGGCGGATGCCCTTCTCGCAAGCTTTGCACGCTGGATTCGTGATCCAGTGTCTTGCTGCTATGAACCTCGGTTACTAGAACTTGTGAGTAAACTTGCCCATCGCGCTCTCACCACTGTGCTCATTCGTCTGGCAAAACTGGGTGGACGTACCGTAAAGGTGGATGGGGACGCGATTTTTGTGCTTACTCCTAAGCATGCCATTCAGGATGCGGTTAGTTTTGCGCGTTACATGGTGGATTCTCTGCGGGACCAACCCATGTTATTGCTATTGTCGCTCCAACCCATTCGATACTGCTGTCCATTTATGGTTCTTGGCAAGCGGGATTTTGCATGTTTGTGTGTTTCTAGCGAGGATATTCTTGGTTTGAAGGAAACAGAGCAAATGCCACGTGATAGGATGAAATTTGAGAGGGCGTTTACAATCTGGGGAAAGCTGCCCAAGAAGGCAAAGGGTATCTTCCTTCGGCGCGTAGAAAGCACACTGCGTCTCATTTCGGAGGTCCGTGAAAAAGTGCTTCAAGACATTCAGGTAGATCCGACCGTTGTTCTTGCCAACAAAAGCGAACAAATTCTGCTACGGGAAGTTAAAGCCTTTAAGGTGGCAATTGAGGACAAACTGCATGGAGACCTAATCGATGAGGTTCATGGGCTCATGGACCACAAAGACTTGTACGAGGAAGGTGAGTTGCCGAGCAATGGTGCACCTCTCTCAGGCGTTGCCGTGGCGTTGGAGTATACCAAAATCATTTGTCGCTTGCTTGATCTGTTCCACAATGACGGTGTTGTGGGGAAGATGCGCAACAATTGTTTGCGCCTCTGTGGGGTTAGTCCTTTTTCTCCATTAGCACAGCTGATCCCCGACGTTGACGCGGAATGTCGTTTGTTAATGGTGAGGTGCAGTTTTTGCAACCTTGACGTCTATCTTGACCTGGGCGTGCAGGAGAAACGTCTACGCTGCGACAGGTGTAATGCGCCAATTTCTGCGTTTGCCCTTGAATCCCACCTTGTGCGACGTGTCAACGCTCTTGTGATGAACTACTTGCAACAAGACTTCAAGTGCAGTAAATGCAACGAGGTTGCGTCCAGCTACATGAGTCAAACGTGCTGTGGTCCTCTCGTGGGGAAGGGCAAGCCCATCGCGGCTCAGCTCCAGGCAATGCGGAAGGTTGCCCTTATTCAAGACTTTTCATGGCTAAAGGAGAGCGTTGATTTGGCGCTCCGTTTTTCTTAGTTCCACTTGTACCGAAGAACGAAATACGTGGAGTAGATGCATGAGGTTGGTAAAAAGAATCGAAGGTATACAAAGGCGGGAGTAAGGCTGCTGGAAGAAAGGGTGGGCAGGGGTAATTCTACGAAGACCGATAAGTTTTGTTGCTGCAGTTGTTGTTGTTGCTAACACCACCATCACTTTTGTCACATGGAAGCACAGCAAGCTTTGCGGCAAGATGAAAACATTAAAATACAGAAATCCAAAGGCGGTTTTGTTATTTCTATGGCACCTCTTCTTGCACACATTTACTTACGGGGTAAATATGCGATTGGAATAGCATCTTTGTTTGTATATGAATACAGGAGTATATATATATATATATATATTGCCACCGCCACCATCACCACCACCACCATTTCTTTTTTTTTTTGTTTGCTTGATTCTTTTGTGCCAGTACTCCCTTCTGTCCACCTGCATGCTAGCCATAACATGTTTTTTGTCCATGCGACCACGCCACGTCATGTTTACGCCTCCACCTCTTGCTAGGCGTCGGGGTTTGTTTCGCTGTTGGACGTGCCAAAATACATGGGGTTCTTCGAATGTGTGGGTAACGAAAACGACGCAACGCGTCTATCAGGGTGAGTCATGCGAGAAATGTGGAACAACAACAAAGCCTTACTACGTTGGCCGATCAGAGGAATCTATTTTTAATCGTGTAAAGACTCCGCATCCGGTGAAGCCCGCGACATCTAGTAGTCGACATGGAAGGAAGCTAAGACATATGCGGTTTGATTGGCGAGTGCAGCGAGGTCGAAGATGAAAAAAAATCTGGCGCATCTCAACCTATGGAACCACGTGAAATGAGAGTTTGCCACCACCATTTTTTTTTCTGAAGTCCTTAAAGATGGGCGAGATATCGGGTGTGGTGATACAGCTCTTGTTGCTATACTCTTTTTTTTGTTCTTGTTGCCTTGGCTTGGAGTTGGTTTCAAAAGGTATGCCTTTACCGCTTTTTTTTCTCACTTTATTTTTTCTCACCCTGTGCCTTTTACACAGCAAGCGCGCATCTGTGTTTTTCTCTCAAGTCAGAAATACGTCACCATGACTGTGTCACTGTGGCAAGCCATCGTTGCCTGCATTGCTTCCTCAATTACAATGCTTATTGGGGTGCTTATTTACCAAGATCTGAATATAAGGTTTCGAAAGCATCAGGACGCTCGCTTCTTTAACCAACCCGGTTTGTGTAACGTCCTGTACGTTAACTGCACCTCCCCCGCTATCACTCTTTCCTCCACCATGATGATGGGTGAAGTGAAAATATGGGAGGATATTAATCCCACTCATTTCTGCACCGTTCCATCTCCGTTGCGCGTGCCGTGCTGGTGGTCAAAGGAAGGGGCGTTCTTGGGCTATGTGCGAATTGGGCCTATGCCGCCATCAGTGGGACAGTTACAAACGTTGTCCATTGTTCTTATAGCTGTAAGTTCGCTATTTGTTTTTGTGAGTCTGGCGTATCCCCACCTAAATGATGAATGTATTCCCAGATGGTTGCGCTGGGGAAGACGTGAAGACGATCCAAACAGACAACAGCGGCAGGATGATCAAGGGGGTACGCAGATGGATGTTTTGGTGTTGGAAGAAACCAGACTGACCGAGGTGTATCCCATGTCCGATGAAAACTGGAAAGCGGAGGCGATTGCCCGCACCCCGTATGCCAAGATGCGTCTTAAGGTTTTGGAGCGTTTTTTTAATGCGCGACGGCGACACTTACAGCACAACGACGACTCTTCACAACCGTACGCCGGTCTTACCGGGTCAGACTCAGAGTTGGAGTGCGACGATGATGATCTTCGTGTGGACGAATGCTATATATGTCTCTCTCGTTCCCGTCGACGGATAATCTGGTGGCCATGCGGTCATTGGCTCTGCGCAAGCTGTTTGCGTAAGGTTCTGCGGAAGACGTTTAATCGCGGATACGTCTGCTGTCCCAATTGCCGCAGCCTAGTTTTACGGGAGGATCTTCTTATACTGCATTTACTTCCCAGAGTGATGAGTACTGCCGCATAAAATCCCTCTAAAACTTAAAAAAAAAAGGAATAAAAATTATAATTACACTTACAAAGTAGGGACTGATGAAACAATATCCGTTGCGGTGCACTAACTTGGTGTATCGTTGCGTGACAGGAGAAGCACGGTGAAGTGGCTCTTGAAATAAATAGGTGTTTTTCTTTCTTTTCTTGTTTTTTTCAGTTCTGTAAAAAAGACAGCGGCTGAAAATGCAAAGTTAAAATATATTTAGGAAATATGAAAAAAGAACGGAAACTGCGCGCGCGGCGCCTTTTAACATGGTGACAAATTAGGCAAAAAAAAACAATTGAAAAAATAATGAATACTGTCACCCCCTCATGAACGGGATAAATATGTGTTGTATTGGATTTGTTTCTTGCGTGAGCGTGTCTGTGGAAGTCTGTGTCCGAGAAGAACAAATGCGAACAGTAGTGCCTTGGGTCATCGTTATTACTATTACCATCATCACGATTGTCTTTGCTGTTGGTGTGAGTTTGTGTACGGGGTGTTCTGACGTGTGTCGGTCGTTTTTTTTTAATTATTTGGCATGAGTTTATCCCACTGATTGCGAGTTGCTGCAGTGGAAGAAACGAAAGCTTTGACCCTTTTCTATGGCACAGGAATCGTTTTTTTTTTTTTTTTTTTTTTTTGGGAACTCAGCCCAATAATATGCTGAGCACTCCAAATGCTTTTTGGATGCATTTAGAGTTTTGGAAACTAGAAGCAAAAGGAGGCCCTGACCGGTCCGTTTGTCCTCATGTCCTCTAGAATGTGTTAGTGTCTCTCGAAGGAACGTGTAACGCGATGAGGCAATGTGTGTGCCAGCACGTTTTTTTTTTTTTTTACCTCTCTGTGCCTTCGTTCATTGCTTTATTTTCGACTTTTTTTTGCTACTAATGCCGCATTCTAGGCGGCGCGAACGCAAGTTGTTTCTTTGTATTTTTCCACACAGAGTCCCTCTAGGTAATGCCATTCGCGCGGAGGGGCGTCCGGCGATTGTGGCTCACCAAGGGACGCCACTTTGTGAGTGTGTAACAAATCTACGCTTAAGTGGGGGACGTTCGATTCATATTGACCTAGAAATTTTGTCTCCCATTTTTGTTTTATTTTTTCTTGTAGGAGCAGAAGTGAACGCAACATCTTTTCTAGGCGCATATTTCTTGTGTTTTACCCCTTTTAGTCCTATTGTTTTTATTTGCTTTTTTTTTTACTTTTTATCTTCAACCTTTGAGTCTGTGCTGTACTGAGGGTAAGTAAAAATACCAAACATGTCTGTGCTCCGGCTTTCGAAAAAAGAGCTTGATGCCCAAATTTACCGCTACCTTCAGGAGGCGAACTACACAGACGCAGCAGAGGCCATGAAGGTGGCCAATTCAGAGGTTGTTCCGGCAGCTCGCAAGCTTAAGTTCTCGGCACTCATTGCCGCCAAAAATAATATCAATGAGGATTCCGACAGCGACGATGAGCCTGTGCGTAAGCCGACCAAGGCGTCCCCCAAGGCCCCTCCCAAGAAGCCTGTGGCTGACTCCGACAGCGACGATGAGCCAGTGCGCAAGCCGACCAAGGCCTCCCCCAAGGCCCCTCCCAAGAAGCCTGTGGCTGACTCCGACAGCGACGATGAGCCTGTGCGTGTTCCTGCGAAACGTGTTAGTCCTGACGGTGTTGACGATGAGGATGAACAGGTGAGAAAGGTCCACCGGTTTGAAAATGGGGAGAATGGAAACAATGGATTTGGAAATCGTGGTGGTCGTGGCTTCGGTGACCGTGGTGGCCGTGGCTTCGGTGACCGTGGTGGCCGTGGCTTTGGTGACCGTGGTGGCCGTGGCTTTGGTGACCGTGGTGGCCGTGGCTTTGGTGACCGTGGTGGCCGTGGCTTCGGTGACCGTGGTGGCGT